TGGAGCACACACGTGCACGTAGGATATGTATTTATACTTGTACTCTAAAGAAGTAAACTACACAAGATAGAAAAGAGGGGAATTCCTTGGCGGTCCAGTGGTTAGGACTCAGGGCTTTCACTGCCAGGGCCCAGGTCCAATCCCTGGTCAGGGAACTAAGATCCCACAGCAAATAAAAAAAAAAGAAAAGAATCAGTCAAGTATTAAAATAATACCTTTCAGCACTTACCACATGCCAGGCCCTTCAAATCACTTTACATGTACTAACTCATTTAAACCTCAGCACCACTTTAAAGTATTATTATGATTATCTTCTTTTTATAATTAAGAAAACTGAATAAGTAAATATAATGTAGAACACAATTCAAATCCAGCAGTGTGGCCCTAAAGTGATTGCTCTTAGCCACTACACTATGTTGCCTTCAAATTAAAGTTCAAGAAACAGGTAAGGTAAGGAAATTATTATTATTATTTTCTCTCTTCATATAGGTGGAAAAATAAACAGAACAGAATTTTGGAGTCTATGGAGTTCAATAATTTAGCATTCCTAATAAAATCTGAAGAAACAATCCACGAGATATTTTTAAGCTTCTATTTCTGGCTAACTTATTGGCTAATTTATGGCAAATAAGGGCTAGTAATACAGTATAAACAATGTAAAATTTTTAAGAAGAGAAAAAAAACCTAGATCTCTGCAACAACACTCTAATTCTTAATTTTATTTGCTACAGACACCAAGCCTCATTCTGAGGCATGAATACCATACAAAATTTCAGGAACAAGCAGGAATTATCTTTGCATAATGAAATAATATAATGCAGGAAAAGAATCATTTTTAAAGAACCCAAAATAACAAAAATTGATATAGCATTGTAAAGAAGATTTCTTAGCATTCTGTTTATAATTATTGAATACTGAAGGATAAAGAAATATAAAGCAGAGGAGGGGCTCTGTATTGAGAATATTTCTAAAGAATATTCCATTTTGTCCTCTTGGTGGCAAGAAAATGAAAAGTCATACAAACTACATTTAGGATTCAGGTAGTGGTTTAGGATCTATGATGAATCAGAGATAACAATGAGCTTTAACACAGCCTGGCTAGAGAAATGTTTTAATTTCTACTGTTATCCCAATGTTATCTCTTTTAACTAAGAAAAAAAAATAGTTGGGCTAATAGTGCCCTACTATTCAGACTGACAACAAAAGCTATCAGAAGCAGTCCAATTTCTGACAGGCTAGGCCAAGGGCACTATAAGAAAGGCTAAGCCCAACTGAGAGATTAGGCTGCTGAGATACACATCTTACTTGTTCAGATGATGCCTGGAGTTCCAACTTGACCTTCTCACAACTTCATCCAGAAAGCAAACCCGTATAAATGAAAGAGGTGGCCCAGCACAGTAAATCCTGGCTCACAAGGGCTCATTAACATCATAGTCATTCATATCCTCATTCACCCTGAGGGAGAATGCCGAAATTGGAAGAAGCATTCTACTTTGCCTTGAACCAGGGTGAGAACATCGAATACTTGAGTAATTGGTGCCACTTCAGTCATTTCCTTTTTATCACAAATACCCAAACCAAATAAATAGGTCCCCCTGATTTTTAAGTTCCTTGTATAACAGTTCTGAATCAGGTAAAAATCTGGGTATAGAGTAAGAATTTAGATAAGATGGTCCTTCACTACTCAAATGACTTAAGAAGTCATTCTACAATGAGCAGCCTTAAATTTTCCAGATGATCCAAGTGAAAGGAAGAGAGAAAGCAATGCTAAATAGGGTACAAAGCTCTAAAAGATTACATTCTCCTTTCTTTGTTGTCCATAGTTAAAGAGGATGGGTACTGCCATTCACATAGACACTGCAGTACAAATCTAACGATGCTATTCTTTTACTTAAAAGAATAAAAGTTCTCTTTTGCCGAGAAGATAAGTCCAAGCTTCTTGGCAGAATATGCAAAGGCTTTCAGGTGAGAATGCACTATCAGCATGGAGAGGTGGAGCCCTGAGAAAGCTTTCCTAGAAAAAGCTACTTCTAAGCTAGTCAAGGAGAGAAGCGGAGGAGGTTTTAGGCAGTGAACAGCACCGAGTAATGCCCAGATGAGAGAAGGCTTCTGGTATGTATAGGCAAACACAAGCAGCTGGTATTATGGAAACTTAAAATATGAGGGAGGACAATATAGCAAGCTATTGAAATTTAACCAATTGAAATTACAGTCAACCCTCTCTATCTGTAGGTTCCACATCCACAGATTCAACCAACCACGGAGAGAAAATACTTGGAAAAAAAATTCCAGGAAGTTGCAAAAAGCCAAACTTGAAATTGCTTCCTATGGGCAACTGTTTACTTATCATTTACATGGTACTTACATCTATTACACAGCATTTGCATTGTTAAGTATTAGAAGTAACCTAGAGACGATTTAAAATACATGGGAAGATAAGCGTAGGCAATGTGAAACACTGTGCTATTTTACATAAGGGACCTGATCTCTGTGGATTCTGGCATCCACAGCAGTGGGGTTGGGGTGGGGAGGTCCTAGAGCCAATACCCAGTGGATACAGAGGGACGACTGTATCTAGAACTCTAGAGTATACTCAGCAATGGCCTATTACAAATCTACCTCCAGACTTCCATTTTAAAATCAAGGTAATTTCGTATTTTATCTTCTATTTTTAAATAACTATACAAATATATATACATATATATTTCTTGTTTTAAAAAATCCTACAAGTAAGGATAAAATTCCCCTTTGGTTCCTTTAACATCCCCACTCCCACCAACAACTAGTCTGGAATGTATATTCTTTCAGACCTTCACTATACTTCACATTCATAAGTATGTACCCACAAAAATATATACGATTGCTTTATGTTCAACGATTTCCATGTAACTGTTCTGGGAATCACATACACCCATCTCCAAAGTCCAGTAATATTGTGTCTTCCTGGTGACAATAGTTTAATTTCAGCTTAACTGATTCCTCTTGTGAAATTGAACCAGATTAATAATTCAGAGATATCCTCAGTTTTGTATTCCAAATGCAGCTGGAGAAAATAAAATCATGGTAAATACTTGTTTAAAAACGTGTAAATCTCTTCTGGAATTATAATTTTATTTTTACCAAGTAGCTCTAGAAAAGCTGTATATCCGTTGTCCATTGAGTCAGAAGCATATCAGTACAGTATCTAGTTATCTGTTCAATCCACATAACTTATTTGAGCCCTAGTACCTGAACTTCCTTAAATAAGTTAGCAACTTTTTTCTTTTTTGATGAAGTGATTATTAGTGTTGCTAAGAAAAAATATTCTTGGGAACCCCTGAGGACTCAGAAAATCGAGCCAATCCAAAATGGTCTTTGATTTAAGGAAAGTGACCAGTAAATTCTTTTATCAAGTTTTCAAATGCATTAAAATAAAACTTGAAAATCTCCATAAGCAGATTTAGTTTCTTTTAAATATAAGTTGGCAGTGATTAAGAATATAATTATTAAAAGCATCCTCTTTGCAATCTCAGTAACTTTATAATATCAAACAGTGAATGTGACTCAGAAAGGTTATAGATCAAAGTCTTCTAATTAATTATTTAATGAGATATGGATATGTTAAACTTCTGTTTTGATTTAAATAAACTTTGAAATCACATTTTTATTACACTGCATATATTACTTCTGTAGTAAAACAACTGACTTCTTAAGTTCTGAGCATACCTCTCAATTTTCTTACTTGCAAACAGGCCCTAACAGTTCACATATATTAATTAATTAGATAAAAGATTGGGGGGCTACATGTGTTTGTTTACTTGTGTGCTTGTTGGAGGATAGTGAATCTCAAGAAGGCTGTACCTCAGGCAGGGCACTTTGGTCAAGGGGTTGCCCGTCATATCCCTTATCTGGAAGGGGCAAACTAGTGAGATCACTAGAGACAATGTAATTTTGATCAGCACTGTCCCACAGAAACATAAACATATGCCACAAATGAGAGCCACAGATGTAATTTAAAATTTTCTAGTAATTACATTAAAAAAGAAAAAAGAAAAATAATGTTAGTAATTTTATTTTGTCTAATATATCCAAAATATTATCATTTCAATGTGATCAAAAATTTTAAATTATTGATACTTTATATTCTTTTGTTCACACCAAGTGTTCAAAATCCAGTGTGTACCTTCATACTTACAGCACTTCTCAACTGCATTAGTCATATTTCAAGTGCTCAAAAAGTCATATCTGGCCAGCGGCTACCATACTGGACAGCACAGATATAGAGGGGAAACCAGGGGCTTTGGAATTAACCTAAGGTTTGAATTTTAGTTCCATAACTTACTAAGCTATGTGACCATAAGCTAGTAATATAAACTCCCTGAGCCCTGTAGTTCTTATCAGTAAATCAGGAATAATACCATATGCCTTGCAAATTTCTTATAAGAACTATAGATAATATAATATTTATTATAATTATAGATACTATGCCTGGCATATATATAGCTCAATAAAATCCTCCTCATCCTCATCATTATATAAATTAGAGAAGGAAAAAGTAACACTGTATGAGAGCTCAAAGTTTAAAATATTGTGACGGAGAAAAACAGAAAGAGAAACAAGAACTTGAAGCAAGATTATCAAAATGTTTTCTAACGGAAGTTTCAGTCGTCAATCCACTCTTATCCACACAAAATAAAAACAAAAACCATATTTTCCAAAATTGTGAATAATGCCAAAATAAGATATTGCTAAAACTAGAGATATGATGGTGTTTAATGGTTCTATTTCTACAGGGAAAAAATGGCTATAAAGTTGAGTAGAAGGTTATTTGCATGGACATGGAATTTTGGGATACTAAAAATGCTTACAAACAATCTACAAAGAGTATATTATGCATTCTGATAACTGAGCATTCATTATATAATACATAATGATATTTTTTTCATATAATTGTTACAGTATATTTTTCATTCACTTACATAGGATATCAAAATACAATGCAGAAAATATACAAAACATACCTCTGATAAAAATGTCTGGGCCGATTTCTGAGCTCCTACATGGAGCAGATATTCATATACGTAGAGTGCTAACCTGTAAAATGAATAAAATATTTATTGAGAAGAGGTATATTTAAAATTCATTCTTTAAATAATGCACACACCTTTTCATTACAGAAATATTTTTCACAATAACAGTGACAGAAAATCAACTCTTCCAACATCTTTTCAAGGAGTTTATACACATATGTTCAGAAAGAACTTTAATTAAAATAGGACGCAAAAGAATAAGACACATAATATCTTCTCTTGGCAAGAAACACCTAAATATGGATTTTTGTCTTGGATCATCTAACTTATCAAGCCCTCAATTCCCTTTGTTATACCTAATATGTATTACTAACTTAAAACCAAACATTAATAATTCCCATAACCTACTTGAAGGTCTAATTATTAGTAAAACAAATGAATTAAGTTATTGGACCTTTACAACAACACTATATCCTTCCAACTTTCTGGTGAATGTTAACATAAACTCCAGCTGTTTACATATCCATATGCCAAAATGGGTGTTGAATGTCCAATTTTAATATATTTGTTCAGACACTCTCTCCTTATTCTTTAGTTTAGATTGTTAAACCAATAAAATTTTAGTTTAAAAGAAATTCAAATGAACAGCAAATCACAGCATTAAGTAAACTTTAAAGATACCAGATTATATTAAGCATTTGGGTGCTTATAGTTTAAAGGTTAACACGGAAGTAAATATAAATTTATCACTCAAATACAGAATATTAAGTATGCACTATACATTTATACTACTCTCATTATCTTGTGGATTCAGAATTTTAAGCTACACCATGTGGCTCAATTTTAGTTAAGCTGTTAACAAAATATTATTCATAAACCCAAATTAGTCTGAGACAGTATTTTTAATGATATCTTGGACTGATGCCCAGATAGCTCACAACAGTTCAGTTTCTGCTACACTGTATTTACCAATATTGAGCCAGGTTTACAGTAAACAAAACAATGTAACAATAACCACAGTTCTGTAGAGCTACTCCATTTCTCTTCCCAAGTGAATTTATGATTGTTAAAGACTGATGGCATTTGCAAAACTGAATATTTTCCTGAAAACATAACATGTATTTGTCATGAAAAGGGAAAGCCTGTATATAATCACTTGCTCTGTCCATTTAATTCTTTCTCCATTCCCAAACTGCCAAACTCTTAAGATGAGAATTATTCTGTAGTTACTAAGCACCATGAGCAGACATCTGTTAAAGTTACTCATAGATGAAAATATGTTGTTGACAGTGAGTATACGAATATAATTTAGAAACATCTCCCATTCTCTTCAAGTTGAATGCCACTTCCTGGATCAGTGCTTCTCAACTCTTTCTCTACTCTAACACACGTAGTATGTCACATCCCTGTGTGATGCTCCCTGAGGAAGGTTCATACCCCAAAGTATGTCATATGGGATATGGAATTGAAATGTTCCTGTAGTTTCAAACAAACAAACCCAACTGGTGATTCTTATCACACATTCTTCAAACACACATATCCCACATACTCTTGTCTCTCACTAACTACTTCCAAACCCATCACATGATTCCCGACCATGATGGCAGATTTCACCTTGAAAAAAAAGAAAAATTTGTGAATTTCTCCTGGAGAGACTGAAGCCTCAAAATTGCCTGCCAGTGGCAGTGTGGCCCTACTGCGTACGGCCCTAGAGCCTCGGGTTATTCCTTGTGAATTGTAAAATCTTGGACCTAGAGCCAAACCAGTGGTGCAGTCTGGACAAGAAAGCCAGGCCTAAGTCAAAGGCTCAGCAGTAAGGATGTTCCACCAAGCCTGGAGAAGTTGGAAGTGAGAGGCACTGAGTGAAGCAGAGGCACCGTGGTGGGTCTGGGGTAGGGGTGGGGGGGTGCAATAACAGAACAGACCCCAGAACAGTCAAGGCCAGAGCACAACTGTTGCTGTGTCGTTGCAATAAACACCATTCCTTAAAGTTAAGCAAGCCACTTCCTTGTAATCTCTTCTTTGTAATATTAAAGGAGATAATATATTTCTTCTATGTTTTCCCCCAATTAATTAGGTAGCAAAAAGTATATCTCTTTACAAGTAGAATTTAAAGCAACAATCTCCTCTCTCTCAATGGGTTCAGGACAGTGATTCTCAAAGACATATTGGCGGAGGCACAAAATCAATGGGGGGAAGGGGTTTCAAACCGCAGACCTAAAGATTTTGAAGCATCTTCCTAGGGGTGTGCTTGTCCTCCTACCCTTAGAATCTGAGCTGTAGCAGGATATCGTATTGTTATCAACAGGATGATAAAATGGGACAGGGCTGAGATTATCTATCTATAACACCGCCTCATATATCCATGTTCTGTAACTCCCTTGAACAAAATGAACGCTTCCCAGGCAGTCAGGACCTACTCCAGAGAGAGTGGCAGGGAGCATCATATCGGTGAACAGTTAATCAACTCTACTGTCTTGATGACTCCAGAATACATCACTAGCAAATCTCCAACATTTTAACTACTACCTCTGTGCATAGGATTTTCCACACCTATGCCTTTAGCCCTATCCTCTCTACCAAGCTCCAAACCTGCTTCTCCAATTTACTGTTTGAAATTTCTAGCAAGATAGCTCTCTCTTAACTTGACCATATCCAGAGTTAAATTCACCTTCTCCCTCTATTTACAGTACCTGTGCTCACTTTCAATGAAACATAATTTCTGAGTCTCAGTTTCCTCATTTGTAAAATGGGAAGGATACTTTCCTTGTAGTATTGTTGAAAGGATCAGAGAGCACAGTAAATAGTAACAATAACTGCAACAGTTTCAGCGAATTCTGTTACACATTATATTACCAAGTCACATACTGGATTCCAACACCACAGCCTCTTTCACATTTGCCATTCCTTTCTAACCTCCCTCCTGCTCCTGAAGAACCAGTAGGAGCCACAGCAACAGGAGTTATTTGTTCAACCTTCAGATACAGATACTGTGTATTTCCCATTAGCTGCCTACAATAGAGGCATTAGGGCCACCAGAAATAAGAGCCTCCAGAAGGTTCTGGGGGAAGAGCCCTGCAATTAATTATCTGTGTATGAATACAAATGATTCCAGGGGAGTGAGGACTGACACTTGTCCATCCGTGCAGATGAATCATAGCATGGTCCCTTACCTAGTGACAGATCATCATCAAACATTTTATTCGGATTCAATTTCTACTGGACAGTGAAAATTTTAAAATAAATATTGAATATACAAATATTTAAAATGTGTACACTCTCATATTATCATTTTCCTTTTTAGGATCTTTAAGAAATTTAACTACTTTTGATAAAGTACAGAGTGCCTATTTAATCTAGTGGCTTATAATGTGATCCAATTACACAGAAAAAAATTAATAATCATGCAGTAAGAGTTTGCAGAAAGTAGACACAACTTTTTTTTTAAACATTGATTAATGAAAAAGCATATCAGTGATTCATGGATCATATATGCCTTTAAATTATCTTCATTTCATTCTAAATTTCAAATAGATACCAACGAATGAGTTAACAAAATCATGACCAGGAATTCTAGAGAGGAATGCAAAGCCAGAATGCAAAATGTATCTGAAACAGCTCAAGACCTTCTGTACTCCCTGGTTACTGCAGGCTCTTAAGCTTTAAAAGTAAGAGCAAAGGTAGAGGTTAAAATGGGAAGAGAACTGAGAATAGCCAAAGTCTGAGCCCACCTGCCACTGCCCTCAACACAGTAATTACATATCACCTACACATGTGATGCACACTCAACTCACTGTCCCTCAGTTACACACATATACACTCATGGGTGCCATCGAAGGCAGAACAGAAAAGTCAACCACCACTGATAAAACTTCACAATTCAAATTCTATCAGTCTCCAATTCTGATAGGATCAAATCTATCGATATTTCAACTAGACTTCATGGATTCAAAATCTCTAATAAATTTGGATGTTGACCAGTCTACAGTTTAACTTTTTAACCTATTTACAAAAGGAAAGGGGGAAATCCCACGCACTTTATTTTGCACATGATTCTAACAAAAGTGGATTTTTTTTGTTAATTATAAAATATATAATTAGAAGGGAATTAAAGATATATAAAAATGAAAAGAACACAGAAAGATGTTAAACCTCTGACTACCCCCCACCGAAAAACCCCAAATAAAATTAAAAAGCAATAATGAACTGAGAAAATAGGATACACGATCAATAGGACAACAAAAGGCTAATATGCTTAATATACAAACAGCTCATATAATATGTCCTGCCAGAATAAGAAGACCTTAATTTTTAAATAATGAGCAAGGATGGACATTAAAGGTCAAATAAGAAGAATGGCTACCTATGGCCAGTAAATAATCCTAAGGAAAATATTCAACCTCCCAGCCATAAACAATATTTTTAAATTTCACCAAAAAATGTACCAAAGACTCTAAAAACATTAAAGCATTCGGTGCCTAAAGGATAATATATGGACGTGTAAATGGTACAGCTTTTCAAGAAAATAACATGGTGAGGTGAAAAGGTAAGTGAATGAGTAAAAAACACAAGTGTAGAATAGCTTGTACAGTACGCTCCCATATACATGACACATATATTCTTCCAGAGGTAATTCATATACATACAGGCACAGCAGCAACAAGCGTCACTCCCCAGGCTTCCCCCTCTGGTGGAAACATATGTATCCAAACAGTATCTTTTATTGAAGGGGTTTTTTTCCTAGGGAGTGGGAGCCTAGGATAAGAGGCAGACTTTTTCTTTTTTTTTTTTTTAGGAGGAGGCTTTTTTTTTTCTTAAAACTTTTTTCTGTTTGATTATTTCCCCATACTTCTTCTATTACCTATTTTAAAAGAAATAAACAAGTAAATAGGAAAAAATAATAAAACTTTATGACCTTTGACCCAGTAATTTCTATTCTAAAATACTATTTTAAAGAATTAATCAGAAATCCAAACAATTTATAATGAAGCTCGTGGCAAAATTATAGCAGTGAAAAACTGGCAACCTAAATATCTGATAAAAGGGGAGTAGTTTACATGCAGG